CTCCGGAAGTACCGTGAAGGAAAAAAGTATTTGACCTCCTGCTGATTTTGTACGTTTGCCCACTGACAAAGAAATGATCAGTCTATAATTTTAATGGTAGGTTTATTTGAACAGTGAGAGGCAGAATAGCAACAAAAATCCAGAAAAACGCATGTCAAAAATGTTATAAATTGATTTGCATTTTAATGAGGGAATTACGTATTTGACCCCCTCTCAATCAGAAAGATTTCTGGCTCCCAGGTGTCTTTTATACAGGTAACGAGCTGAGATTAGGAGCACACTCTTAAAGGGAGTGCTCCTAATCTCAGCTTGTTACCTGTATAAAAGACACCTGTCCACAGAAGCAATCAATCAATCAGATTCCAAACTCTCCACCATGGCCAAGACCAAAGAGCTCTTCAAGGATATCAGGAACAAGATTGTAGACCTACACAAGGCTGGAATGGGCTACAAGACCATTTCCAAGCAGCTTGGTGAGGTGACAACAGTTGGTGCGATTATTCGCAAATGGAAGAAACACAAAATAACTGTCAATCTCCTTCGGCCTGGGGCTCCATGCAAGATCTTACCTCGTGGAGCTGCAATGATCATGAGAACGGTGAGGAATCAGCCCAGAACTACACGGGAGGATCTTGTCAATGATCTCAAGTCAGCTGGGACCATAATCACCTTCACGGCATAGTGGTGTAGTGTTGTAAGGACGAGCAGACTTCTTAGGAGGCACACTCTGTTTATTGTATTATTTCCTTATACAATGCTTAACACACACAGAGGGATATACGGTCCCCTCACCCGATACCCTAGGGAGGTACAGCCTCCGGACTTGGCGGGACTCACACGTCTACCGCTAACCTCCTTGATACCTAAGGAGGTACAGCCTCCGGACTTGGCGGGACTCACACGTCTACCGCTATCCTAGTCCTCCGGCTAGGACCTAGGGGAGGCTATCTGACCCACCGCTGGCCCGGTGGGTCCTGACCACTGGGTATGCCGAGCCTTAGCCCTTAGAAGGTCTGGAAGGCTGGTCCAGGGTCCTAGCTAGGCTTCAGCCCAGTCTTCTGTCTTCGTGTAGGGAGAGAACTCCCCGAGGTCCGTTGGGTCACCCGTCTTATACTCCTTCATGGCCAGGCAGAACCAATCATACATTCCCACGTGGAACCGTCTGATTGGTTCGTACCAAACCCTGGCTACGATCCGTTTCACATCGACTGACCTCAACCGTTGTACCCAGGGGTAATGCTGCACTGCCCTGGTGGCAATGCAGGTTACGCAACAGCGCGTAGTTAACACCTCTACAGTGGTACCACACTCTGCCGTGAAGGACTGAAATCCTGCAGCGCCTGCAGGGTCTTCCTGCTCAAGAAAGCACATATACATGCCCGTCTGAAGTTTGCCAATGAACATCTGAATGATTGAGAGGACAACTGGGTGAAAGTGTTGTGGTCAGATGAGACCAAAATGGAGCTCTTTGGCATCAACTCAACTCGCCGTGTTCGGAGGAGGAGGAATGCTGCCTATGACCCCAAGAACACCATCCCCACCGTCAAACATGGAGGTGGAAACATTATGCTTTGGGGGTGTTTTTCTGCTAAGGGGACAGGACAACTTCACCGCATCAAAGGGACGATGGACGGGGCCATGTACTGTCAAATCTTGGGTGAGAACCTCCTTCCCTCAGCCAGGGCATTGAAAATGGGTCGTGGATGGGTATTCCAGCATGACAATGACCCAAAACACAGGCCAAGGCAACAAAGGAGTGGCTCAAGAAGAAGCCCATTAAGGTCCTGGAGTGGCCTAGCCAGTCTCCAGACCTTAATCCCATAGAAAATCTGTGGAGGGAGCTGAAGGTTCGAGTTGCCAAACGTCAGCCTCGAAACCTTAATGACTTGGAGAAGATCTGCAAAGAGGAGTGGGACAAAATCCCTCCTGAGATGTGTGCAAACCTGGTGGCCAACTACAAGAAACGTCTGACCTCTGTGATTGCCAACAAGGGTTTTGCTACCAAGTACTAAGTCATGTTTTGCAGAGGGGTCAAATACTTATTTCCCTCATTAAAATGCAAATCAATTTATAACATTTTGACATGCTTTTTCTGGATTTTTTTGTTGTTATTCTGTCTCTCACTGTTCAAATAAACCTACCATTAAAATTATAGACTGATCATTTCTTTGTCAGTGAGCAAACGTACAAAATCAGCAGGGGATCAAATACTTTTTTCCCTCACTGTACGTCCTACATACAGTTGAAAATGTATTTACGGGAAAGTTAGTGAAGTTAAATAGTGCTGTCATTATAACGCACGATCTGCTGTGTCAAATCAGTCTCCTTGTTCTCAGCCTACATCCAAGTAGTCCATAATTATTGCACACGTCAAAAATAAAACACCTGAATACTGAGAATGTTGTCCCAAAATGTTTCAATCATAACAAATACAACCAGAAATATGAGAGAGTGGCAAAAATAATGCGACAAAAGCTAATAAGTGCACAAAAAAGGCATGGAGTGGTTATTCCTAAGAATTACACCCGAAAAGAGGAACGCACGGATCATAAAACCTACACAAGTTAAATACATCGTGGTGATTGTTAAGTCAGTGTGCTTAGACAGGACACGCCACTCGAACGATGTCGTGGCAGCCAAAGGACAGAAAATGTTTTGAGGACATCCAACGCGGATATGGCCTTCATCAAGCATTAGATAGAATATAGCTGATGTTATACATAATAGATAGGCTGATGTGACCCCTGCAACCACAATTACCACAATATACATAGAGTATATATATTTTTATATATAATTGTGACTGTGCATAGTGACAATTGAATCTAAATGCTGTTAGGGGTGAATCATAATTCCAGCATTATAATTACTTTGAATTCATATTCTAGAGGTGCCTTTCCTCCTGATGTAGTATCGTGCAAGCTATTTAACAGGATAACCTAAGTTATAGCGATGCCATTTTAAAGATTAAATATTGCACAGTATAGATTTATTTTTGTATGTATTTATTTTTACGTCTGCTGGAGAGGTTTGAAAGCAGCCCAACAAATATCACAATCTGAAGGGAATTAAGTAAATTGTGATGATTTTCTAGTTGGGCCTGGAAGCTGAACTTAGCCCAAATTTTGTTGAATCCATGTTTATGACTAGAAATGTTTAATTTTAAAAAATCAGCATTTTTCATTTTGGCCTCCCCCATGGAAAACTAGGGTGAAGTTATATATGTTTTACCTAAACCAATTCAAGTGCGTGTGTGTGGAGGAGTCTAAAGATGCCGATTCTATATGTAATTCGATTTTTTGTTGAAAAAAACTAAATAGTTCATATTTTAATCCACCGTCTAAAATTGAAAACTGAAACTTGCGCATTTAAGCGAGGATGATTGGATTACACTGAGAGACAGATAGGAACACATGCAGGTTAATTCCATCATTCAGTGAGTGGGCTTGGACAGGACACGTCACGCCTATAATGGACAATGACCGATGGTCAAGGATAATAGCGGAGTGGCGGCTAAGGGATGGAATGTGTCCAAGCGTACGAACATACCGAGGAGATGGAGCGACGAAATTAGAATGTGCGCAGGATCTCGGTGAATTGTTGGATCGCGGGATCATGAGAGATGGCGATAGCTTGGAGGAGGGGGCCTGCATCCGACAGAGGATTTCATTGACCATGGCTGATGATCATGGAAAAAAAAGTTTAGGGAACAAAACTTCCACTCTTTGTGGTTGAACTTAGGACGATTAAAGTTTGCACCTGGAGGCTGGGAAAGGAACTCAATCCAAGCATGCATAGGTATGACATCAGATTTTTTTTTATATTTGTCTGCTACATTTTGTGAGTGTGACGCTAATGCGGAAATAACGAGGGCACAGCAATCTACCAGTTACTCGAGCAATATAGTGGGCGGTCCGTTTAGAAGATCTCCACTGACATAATGCAACATTACAGGGAGAACATTGCATCTCACATGTCTCCCAACGAATATGTATGAAGCGCGTATTGCATGTTTAAAAAAAACCTCTCCTCTGTAAGACACTGAGGCATCGTTCTTACGATTACAGTAGCCGCTCATCTGTTGATAAATTGGTTATAAATAAGTTTGGGTATCAATAAATAAGATTACCCCCCCTACTATACGCGTCTTCAGTTGTTTCATCGCAGCTTGGAACGGTCCGGAACACCGAACAATTTTGGTAGGCACGCCACACCCATCATCCGAACAAGTTTTTTTGTTTTTAATATGTATGTAAAAACCTTGTTCGTGCAATTATTGGAATATAATGAGGTTGACGTGGAGTTACTGTGCCCAGTACTCGCGCGACGGTACCTGATGTCGCTAATCGAGTCCACGGGGTATGTTTTGATGATACAAATGGGACGTGTCTGGAGATGGCGTCACACTTTATAGCGATTAGATAACACACGTGTGCGTGGAAACGAGAAAACATGGTAATTAACACAAGAGGTGACAGTTTTCCACTGTGTTATGCCACCGATCTCTGGATTGCAAGCCCAGCGCGTTCAAGCCATGACATCAGCGTGGCATCACTCCATGTAGCAAGCGTCTATTATTTACAGTGAATGTAATGGGACTCCCACGTAACAACAGACGTGTACCTTCAACAATACACACACGTATGCATATGTATACACTATGCTCTCTGTTCGTGTCTTGAGTTTTGGGATGCCAACTTTAACACTTACAAGCACCTCCATGGAAAACAATGAGTAACACAACACGGACACTGAAGTTTCACTGCTAAGATGGTCGATCGATGGCAGGATATCAACTTAAACAGGAACCAACAACAACAATAAAAAAAACCACCCAAACTGCGCGGGTGTTCCGGGTGTTTAACCTTCACTCTCAACATTCGCAGAAATCTTCATCGACCGATTGGAAGGGGACATCAATGACCACCAACAACGATAAGTAACACAGACGGGAAGAAGAAAAAAACCACACGCACGCGTTAAAGTAAGGGGCGTCGAACCTTTTGACGGTCAAGGTCCGCTGGTAGGGTGGCCGAGTGGCCGCGCAATCGACGACATCTGAGAGTGTCCGCGGTGATGATAAAGAGATGGACGTTCTGCGCTCACGGATGAACTTTCCGTGAGCACGGGTTGCACCGCAGGCACGCACGCACGTGTGTGTGTGTGCGTAGGGGGTAGGAGGAGAGAGGAAACTCGCTCAGGTGAACGGACAGGGAACAGAGGGGGCAGGGGGCGCCCACGTGGAAATAACCAAACACCTTCCCCACCACCACCACCAGAAGCAGCAGCAGCAGCGCATTGTAACCTTCGCCTCGAGACTCGCGAGCCGCGTTCATCATCCGCACGATGCGCGGGAGCCACCTCCTGACCGCGATTCTCCAACTCGGGCAGGCGGCAGTGTGGTGGATGGCGGAGAGGGAGGTTATTTTGCGATACCGGTAACCGGATTAGGAAAGAAACTGGTTGAATTCGGTTACCGGTTTTTTGCATTCGTTCATTCTGATTGCGCCCCACGACACTGCGCCATGCGCAACGCACGCATGTGCGTGCGTGTTTAGGATGTGTGCGGCCAATTAAGGGACATTTGTATTCATGAGTGTTCACACCTAATGTACCGTGTAGCAAATCCGTGCATTCGTTACAGATACAGTGAAATCTTGGATTGCGAGCATAATTCGTTCCGGAAATGTGCTCGTAATCCAAAGCACTCGTATATCAAAACGAATTTCCCCATAAGAAATCATGGGAACTCAAGATGATTCGTTCCACAACTCAAAAATATTTTTTAAAAAAAATATTGATACAAAATCCTGTACCTTTTTATTTAAATAATATAAAGTAATCTATAGTATTAATTAAATTTAATCGTGGCTGGTGTGAGGGAGACGAGAGAGGAGAAGAGGAGGAGGGTTATACTGGTAGGAACCTCCTGGTTCCACCACCAGCCCACAGGGGATTATTGTGTCCGTCCGTCCGTCGTGCATCCACAAATGGGAGGGGTGGGGCTGGGTGGAGAGGGGAGGGTGGGGAGGGGCTGGGTGGGGAGGGAGGGAGGGGCAGGGTGGGGAGGGTGGGGAGGGGCTGCGTGGGGAGGGGAGGGTGGGGAGGGGCTGGGTGGGGAGGGGCTGCGTGGGGAGGGGAGGGTGGGGAGGGAGGGGCTGGGTGGGGAGGGTGGGGCTGAGTGGGGGGTGGGAGGGGTGGGGCTGGGTGGGGAGGAGCTGGTCACCCCGTGGTGCCCTTATAAAACTCAACGTTTAACCTACTCACGCCGGCTTGTGCCCGCCCTCACAGTCCGGCATATTGTGCTGAATACACCACGTGGTGCCGCCGTTGAGCCTGGCCATTGACCGAGCAACCCAACGTTCCTACCAGCTCCCTCCGCAGGAATGTTTGTGTAGGACGATTTTCACTGTCAGTAACGGAATCACTGCCATCTGTTGGCTCACTGGAATATTTTTCTTTTTGTGCGACTTTAACAAGGAACCCATCCAATGACACTTGCTTTTGCCTCCTTTTGAGGATTTCGCAGAAATGTGACATTGTATTGTTGCTAAACAGATTCATCGCTCGCACTGCTACAGCCTTATTCGGGCGCTGCTTTTCTAAAGAACAGTCACTACACTTGGACACAAAATAAAAAAAAATGCTTTATGCACACACGTGGTCACAACACTACTGTAGTAAACAGTATACACGTGGTCACAACACTATAGTACTGTAGTAAACAGTATACACGTGGTCACAACACTATACTGTAGTAAACAGTATACACGTGGTCACAACACTATAGTACTGTAGTAAACAGTATACACGTGGTCACAACACTATAGTACTGTAGTAAACAGTATACACGTGGTCACAACACTATAGTACTGTAGTAAACAGTATACACGTGGTCACAACACTATACTGTAGTAAACAGTATACACGTGGTCACAACACTATAGTACTGTAGTAAACAGTACACACGTGGTCACAACACTATAGTACTATAGTAAACAGTACACACGTGGTCACAACACTATAGTACTATAGTAAACAGTATACACGTGGTCACAACACTGTAGTACTATAGTAAACAGTATACACGTGGTCACAACACTATAGTACTATAGTAAACAGTATACACGTGGTCACAACACTATAGTACTGTAGTAAACAGTATACACGTGGTCACAACACTATAGTACTGTAGTAAACAGTATACACGTGGTCACAACACTATACTGTAGTAAACAGTATACACGTGGTCACAACACTATAGTACTGTAGTAAACAGTATACACGTGGTCACAACACTATAGTACTGTAGTAAACAGTATACACGTGGTCACAACACTATACTGTAGTAAACAGTATACACGTGGTCACAACACTATAGTACTGTAGTAAACAGTATACACGTGGTCACAACACTATAGTACTGTAGTAAACAGTACACACGTGGTCACAACACTATAGTACTATAGTAAACAGTACACACGTGGTCACAACACTATAGTACTATAGTAAACAGTATACACGTGGTCACAACACTGTAGTACTATAGTAAACAGTATACACGTGGTCACAACACTATAGTACTATAGTAAACAGTATACGTTCGCACGGATGTTGACTATACGAGTGAGGCACGCCGCCTGAGACCGAGCATGGGAGACGATTACCCACAATCCCGCAGCGAGAGAGAGAGAAGAACCATTGGCTCAGTTGTGATCACGTGACGCTCGGCAGACAAAGCGTATACTGTACACGTACTGCTCGTATTGCAAGACATCGCTCGTTTATCAAATTATTATTTATTTTACATTTTTGCTCGTCTTGCAAAACACTCGCAGACCAAATTACTCGCAATCCAAGGTTTCACTGTACTGTATTCCACAAGAAACCATAACCGGTTTCCGACTTTCGGATTATGAAAATGGTTACCGGTTACAGATTATTGCTTAGAAACATGATTTATTTTTCATGCACACTGCTTCCCAGCGTTAAAGTAATGCCATTTATTAATCCTGGATATCCTCACTGAGTCTCAAGATTTTTTTTCAAGAGGGCCTAGCATTGGGATGTTTGGCAAGATCCATTATCGACTGGCTTATTGCGGGCGGAAGCTTGTGTACGTATTGTATGCTGAATTTCTTTCGCACCGTACGTGGCCAGGCACGCATTACAAGGCAATATCGCTCACAACTCCGCACAGATAGATGACTGCGTTCTCCTGGGCCACCTTTCGCTAACCCAAGCCGGCGATAATTGATTCTCCCAGCTCGTCTGTGATTAATCTATCGGGCATTTAGTGGGCTCATGGACTCCAGCGAACCTTCTATGGGACCGTTCATAAATGACGTCACGCGATTTTGGAGGATTTTTGACACCCCCCCCCCTTCGTCACACTGCGTCACAAAAGTCAGACCCCCCCCCCCCTCAAATATGACGTCACAAAGCCCTCCCCCCAAAAAAAATAAAACATGGTTCAAATCGTATTCTTAGTTTTTTCGGTAAAGTCACGTTGTTTCTCTTCAACGTGACTTTACCGAAAAAACTAAGAATATTAATTACTGCAGTCACGAAAGCTTTAAATCAAAATTTATGGTTCAAATCGCTTTAAACTATTGTCATTGTAGTGCGTATTTAATGTGCTGCTGCACTCTGATGTTGCAGGAGAAAACATTTATTAAAAAATCTATTTAATTAAGTAGAACGTGTTGTCTATATTTATTCAAAGTTGCGCATTTTGATGTGACGTCACATTTCTCACACCCCCCCCTCGTCCCACATCATCACAACAAATATCTGATCCCCCCCCCCCCCCCCTATATACAACAAGAGAATCGAGCAACGTCTACCATTGTATCGTTTCGATAAAGATCCGGCGTCCCATCCCTCATCGTTACATTCGTCCACATCGTCGGCCATGATCTATCAACCGCTGGACGAAGGCGTCCAAAAGGGGCCCTCTCGCTCACGCGCCCTCCCCACCTGTCACTCCGCGGGGCCACTGGGTGGCAGGAGAGCATTCTCTTTGATGGCTTTCGATGGCATCGTCGCCGCGACTCGCACTGCAATGCGCAGCACGTCAAGATGCCATCACGATTATTCTCATTATATATTTAGGATGCATTTATAGCGCACCTTTCCAGGGCACTTTAACGGCACAAGCCATCGGCGGTACACACAAGGGGGCAAAAAGGGGAGCGACGCGTGGGCTTAGGGAGGTGACGGAATGGATGGAGGGACAGGGCCTAGAAATGGAGCTGCTGATGTTGCATGGGGTAGGAATAAGGCGGAGTGTGATGGTGAATGAGGGTGACGGGCGCAACGTGGATGAAAGGGCAGCGGGTTATGGGGCACATGCGTGAAGTCGTACGATGGATAGGTGCGATGGCTGGGCATGGATGAGGGTAGGTGAGGGGTGGTAGAGGCAGAGGTCTGGTGGCCGGATAGTTGACCCGATGGAGGAGCACAGCGGAGGGCTGGTGGAGAGATGTCGTTATGTGCACATATTTACTGTTCACACAACTATTCCGCAACAGGCGTGTGAATACTTGCAACAGTGGCGACGACATGATCCTATCCAAAGCACGCCGTGTCCCATGCTATGCACCCAGCCTTGTGAATGTGCAAGAGAGGCTGGTGATTGACAGCCTGATATATGAAAAGCAGTATGTGATTCCTGCGTTCTAGTCAAGACGCCTTTTGGCATATATGTTGTATTTGTTTGCGCTCTGCGGGCATTTATTTCTGGCTCTTCTAATCTCCTTTTCGATTAGAAAGGTGCTCGAATGAAGTCAATGTGCGTATATGTGAGCGGAGTTGGAGGCGCACTAATTAGGCCACTGGCAATCTGACAAATCGACTGCAGGCCACGGCTCATATCAGTGGCGAGTGAGACCTGGACAGGTCCTGGCCACCACTTGCCCCTCACCAACCCGCAGTGACCAGAGTGGTGAAGTATGGTCAAATAATACACACGGTAGACACGACGTGCTTGGGGATGCCTTCATCCAACAACAGTAGATTGGCGGAACGGGCTGCACGTCAAGATGCTTTGTAACAATGTCATATTTTATACGAGGAGGTACATATAGCAGATGGAGCGATTAAATTAGCTCGTGTGTGCAGGCGGGAAGGTCGATTGTTACATTGCAGACCCGTGATAATCACATCTGTAAATGTATGCATGTTGAACTTTTTTCGCACCGTACGTAGGCGCGGGGTAAGGACAAGAAAGTGAACACAAAAAGCAAGATGTACGTACGGTTCGAGAAACCTCATCATGACAAACACAAAGAATCCAGAAATATACAGAGATGGCGACTATACGATGGGGGCCTTCATCCAGC